TCTTATTGAAATCAAAAATTTAAATGCTTTTTAAAGAAAATCATTCAAGTTTTGCTTAGATTTTGATTGTTTTGTCACTTTGATTTTACTTATTTCTATATCAAAAACTAAAATTATTTAGATCAGATATAGACTATCAAAGTTTATTAATTTGGTTTGGTTAGGTTCTTCTATACTTTTTGCCACTTTGATTTTATTTATTCTCATATGAAAAAGACAAAAACTAAAATTATTTTGATCAGATATAAACTATCAGACTTTATTTATTTTATATTGGTTTGGTTAAACTTATATACTTTTTTTTTGCTACATTGGTCGATAACATATTAGATTTTCATTCTAAAATATTGGAACTAATATGATATGCCATTTTGCAATTGAAAATAAAAAAATAAGGTTGCAACAAATTTTACTCTAATCAAGGTCGGCCCTGAGATTATGGAAGCTTGAAACAAAATGAAATGGGAGGCCAAATTTTTTTAACGTAAAATTTTAATAAAAATAATTTTAAATATAAAAAATGCTAAATTTTTAGTAAAATAAAAAACAAACAATAAAATTATTTCTTTTTTGATGTAAAAATTAATCATCAATATTATTTCAACTACAAATTAAAAATTAATCTTAATGATCACTAAAACTATTAGTTAATTAACCTTAATGATCAGTAAAAATATTGTTTGTTTGAAAATAATATTGACTTAAAAAAAGAAAATTAATTAAGGTAGAGAATATCTTAAATTAAATCCCACTAGTTCTATTTCTTTTGTTCAACTCTTCTTATGATTAAATAAAAATTTATAATTTTTTCATTTATTTAAGTGTATATATATATATTTTTTTAAAAAAAAATAATGAAAGCCTTTTAAAACAATGGAGACCTAAGGTCAATGTTTCAATAGGCTTTGCCCATGGCCGATCCTAACTCTAACACCAAGTTTGGAATAAGATTGAAAATGCTCTGTATCCAAATTTTTGCATAAATACGCTTTTATATATGCATATACCATTTAGTAGATGAAAAAAAAATATAATAGGTACATCGAACGTAGAAATTTATTTAATATAGGATAGATAATTTTTTATTTTAATTAATAAAGTAATTTATCAAAAATATAGTATTAATAACAAAAAAAACATCTACAATCAAATGAAATGAAAAAAAAAATTATGTGCCAAAAGATTAAGAAAAAAATCTTACAAAATTATCCTATGATCTTACTGTTGGCTAGGTAATATGGAAATACAAGGAAAAAAATACATATAATCGTGGATAAGTTAAGTAAACACATTTCTATACTCTTATAATTTGGATTTTTGAATGGAATTTGAATTTTGATCATTTGAAATTCCAAATATACACTAATGGATAAATAAAACTTCAGTCTATATATAAAAAAAATTAGTGTAGGACACGTGCCTCTGAACCTTGTATGTGCATTTGCTCCTGGGTACATGCATGTATAACCACGACGAAAGAAAATTGTTACCAAATAATAGTAAATTCCAAAATTCATTAGATGCTATGTTCGAATTTACCATCTAACTAATTAGTGGGAGGTTAAACAGTGAAATTCTTCTTTTTATAACTTAATATAAAGGAAAATCATTTGAGTACATTTTTCCTTTTTAGGATTTTTTCATAATAACATAAATAAACATCATTTTGGCATTTAAATAATTAATCAGATATCCCAAGTAAAATAAAATAAAATAAAACGTTGACATTTCGTTTTCCGATTTGATCACAAATTCGAAATGCCCAAGTAATTTTGGCTAAGCACCTAGAGGACCAAACTTTAGAACGTTATTGAGTACCAACAAAAGGAGACAAATTAATAGCAATTTACAGTTATGTTTCCACTGTCAGATGCAAAGCATTGAAGCTCATCTTCTCGTACATGCCCAAAATTATGATTTAAATGTCCTTTGTTCATAACATTAATTTCATCATGTCCTCTATGTCAAAAACAAATAAAATGGAAATACATGTAAATGCCCAATCTCATATTCTAGGTATCTCTCTTTTCTTGTCAGCAAAATTAAATATAATACTTTTTTTTACTTCCTCTAATAGCAAATAAATTTGGATTTTTTTCACTGGAATGATATTGATTGATTCGGAAAGGATTACAGTGTAGAGCAGAGAACTAAACATAGCATTCTCTGAAAATGAAGAACCTCCTTCTATTGTTTCTCGGATGTTTCTCGTCCAGCCGTTTCAATTGTGGAGGAAATCAAGAGAATTCTTAGAGCTCGCCTGGACTCACTATCTCGGGCTCTCCCTAACTCACTTTCGTCAATCTCCTACCTATCAACTTGGTTTTCTTTTTACTAACTTATTTTTTGGCGAAAGCTTCTGCTTTTGTGTAAACGCAGATCTGTTGATCTAAGTTCTAGCGCTGTCACCCTGCGGGGAATATTTTGTAACCGACCTGATTATCTAATGAGAAGCTATTTTTTTATAAAAAAAAAAAAAACCTCCTTCTTTGAATTGCTATTGTTGCATATAGTACTCCACTACTTGTAATATATATATTTTTTTTGTTCAACACTTTCTCTTCTTTTTTTAAACTTCCACAATACAATAAGATGAAAAAAACCCATCCTCTTAAGCGAGAAAGTACAAATTAAAGGCAAATAAATTTGATATGCATGCACAATGCATTAACCACTTATCCGAACATTGTTAGAAGCTTTTTTTTTAACAAAACAAATTTGCTAGAAGCTACGACGATGTTTAGGATGTTTAAAAATGGTTTTGATGTAAAATTACTCATTAAAGGAGTATAAATTTATTGTTAGAAAACAGAGTAGAGATTAAATATATAAGTATTTTCTGGTATCTGTGAATTTCTAGCTTTTGGCCCGTATGTCTTCAGTGGATCGGACTACCAGAGCATGTATTAATATCTTTACAAATACTTTCGACCCCAACAAGTGAAACTCACTTTCTCTTTAGACCAAAAAGACTTTTTGGTCCTAAATACTGTATATTAATATCTACTTATTATATCAACCGACCATCTAGTTCCGGTTAATCAGCCAAATACAACCAGTTGCAAACTTAATTAACCTCTTAAATTTAATCGAAAATTACCACAGCAATTGATTCCTGTTGTTTATGTAGTATATTATATTTATTTCAGTTTTTAATGTAAAGTATTCTAACAACTTTTTTTATTAGTGATGTTCATTTGAATGTTTTAGATTCTGATATATGAGAACTTACAACACAACAATTTCTAATGGACCCTTTTCAAGGTTTTATTAACTTATTTTGTTTAAAAAGTTGCATAAATATTATATAGGTGAATGGGAAAATCAACGTAGAAAATACCCACCCATGCTTAAAGAGTCTTAGATAACTAGCAGATTTCAAAGATGTGATTGCAAAAATTAAGATTGTCTGTCTGTATTGGGGGAGCTCCTCGAGGCCAAACATTAATTTCGTGTCCTTCTTTGTGTTTTCCAATTTTAGTAAAGACTTATATTGCATAGAAACAGAAACGGAAACGGGTACGTGGAAGCAGAACGTTTCGAAAAAAGTATAGAAATGGAAACGTTTTGGAAACGTGTATATATATATATATATATTATAAGTATTAAAGATCTAATTATAAGTAGAATATTTAAATCAATAAAATCTAATATATAATTTTTACATAATTATTAAACTATAAAAATTAAAATATGTAAAATTAAAAATTTAGAAGATTTTCTTTATTATTAATTTTATTAGTTTCATTAACCAATCTATCTCTAATTCTAATTCATCCAGAAAATAATTTTCAAACTTAATAATCTCAAAATTAATCTTAATTACCAAATCGAATATTTATTATTTACTATAAATAAGTAAATCAATTATTTAATTTAATTTTTATAATTATTTATTTATTCTATAAAAATAAAAAATTAGTTTTTATCTTCTTTCCAAAATAGAAACGCGTGTTTCTAAAATAGAAACGCGTTTCGAAAGTGTTTCCAAATTAAAATTTTTAGTAAACGTGATTTTTCGTGTTTCCGACGAGTTTCCGAGAGTTTCGATTTCTGAAACGTTTCGGAAATAGGAAACGTACCTCAGACAGTGTTTTCATAAACTCGTATATAAGTTACTTTTTTTGACAGCATATATAATTTATTTATAATTTAAAACATTAAGTATGTAGGTTCATATGGCCATGCCCATATATAAAATGTTAATAAGGATGAAGTATATTTTTTTATATTTTTTGATGCCCTATAATAACAATAAAAAATTGATGCCCTAAGCAAAAGTTTCTTTTTTTTTCAACACAGGCACGGCTCTGAGTATTTGGTAAATATAAACTCTAAAGAAATGATACTTGCGGTCGTTCTGTATACGCATGCACAACAAAAAGAAAGGTTTTTATTATTCACGAACAAAAACAAGCTATATATATATATTACATGTAGTAAAAAAAAAGTAGATATATTATTAACTGTTTTTCTAAGAGTGGCGAGATCGAAAATTGATATTATATTAATTGATAAAATTATTAATTTGTCATTTTGATTATTTCATCTATTAATTCTTAGTTTAATTAATTGGTAAAAAATTAGTTTGACCAAAAAAAGATATTTGTTTTTAATTTTCCATGTTATAAATGTTTATTATCTTAATATTTTCTTTATTTACATATTTCCTATTATTTTAAACAATTAATATCAGGTTTAGATCAGAAAAACAACAATCTTTTACATTTTTTGTCATAAATTTCAGTGTGCTGTTCTGTAGTGCACAACTAAAGATATCGTCACATTGATAAAAGAAGGTAGATTCGTAGACAGTTCTAGACTCTCAAACGACAACAGTAAAATAAAAATAAAAAGAAAATGGAGTGACCAAAGAAAAATAAAAAGAACACATACATATTTTGTCCTTTTCCGGCCGAAACCGAAACCATTTGATGCAAATGACAAACTCTAAAACCTTAAAATCCGATTTGTTTCTCCTCTGATATTTCAAAAAAAAAATGATGTAAAGAGTTGCAGGTTTTTCTTTTCTTTTTTTGTTTGCTATAATTTTAACCCCAAAAAAAAAACTCACTTTTTCTAAATCAGGACAAAAATGAAATTGATCCTTTTGTTTTCTTTTTCCATTTTGTATGGTTTCATGAAAATTTAGGGATGGAATGGTTACTGAACAAAACAGAATATCTGTTCCGGAGAATCTGAAAAAACAGCTCGCAGTTTCAGTTCGAAGAATTCAATGGAGTTACGCAATCTTCTGGTCTATTTCTGCTTCTCAGCCTGGGTGAGTTTCTTAATCACTATCCTTGAAACTGATCAGTTTTGTTATTTTTGAAGGTTCAAATCTCTACTAGGGGGAAAAAAATGAATTTCGAATTTTCATTGCTAAAGCCTTTGTCTGAAGCTAGAAGTGCTTTTGGTTCTGCCTTAAAAATTATTAAAACTTTGATAAAAAGATTACTGATTTAATTTGGGAAATTTTGATTTATTCTGCTTCTAAGTTCCATCAATGAAGTTCTTCAACTCAAGACAATGTTCTAAGTCGATTTGAGTTTTAGGTTGATACTGTCTTAGAGATTATTAGAAATTTTATAAGTGGAAATAGTGAGACCTTATTAGTTACAAAAAAAACTCAAAACAAAGATTAATTATGGTTTTTTTTTTCTTAAAATTCAATTTTCTTTTGTCTTTTTTTTGTGTGTGGATAATTCGGGCCGGAAACCGATTAATCTCAGAGTGTGCAAGTTCGTTGGGTTCTTGAAGTTCTTCATTAGTTTCTTACTGATTCGATTCGATTTTTTGTTTTTTATTGTTTGAACCAAAAGAGTGTTAGAATGGGGAGATGGATACTATAATGGAGATATCAAAACGAGGAAGACGATTCTAGCATCGGAGATCAAAGCTGATCAGCTTGGTTTACGAAGGAGCGAGCAACTTAGGGAGCTTTACGAGTCTCTTTCTGTCGCTGAATCTTCTTCCTCCGGCGTCGCCGCCGGATCTCAGGTCACTAGACGAGCTTCTGCCGCCGCACTCTCGCCGGAAGATCTCGCCGACACAGAGTGGTACTACTTGGTTTGTATGTCTTTCGTCTTCAACATCGGTGAAGGGTAATTGCGTCTATTTATCTTTCGGCATTGACATTTACTATGTGCGTCGTCATGTTCGGATTGATCTTGTCAGTGAAATAAATAAAAAAAAGACAAAATACCCTTTTATTACATGTATGTCTGGATATTAGACTTTTTGGTAAAAAACTAAAAAGTTTTAACTAGAAACCAAAAATTATTATTTTCCACAATCGTTTGAAATTTCTTTTTTTTTTCTTTTTTTTTTGGTTTGGTTTGGTTCAGTTTAGGGTTTTTTTGGATTTTCAGATTTTTAGGTCCTGGAGAAAAGAAGTCCAAGATCGGTTTGGTTAAGTCAAATTTTAAAATGATTTGGATAATTGGTCTTGGTTTGGTTTTTAATTAAAAATTAATCAAAATGAAAATATATAATTAGATTTAATCATTATTATAAATTTTGTAAATGCTTAATGAAATGAATTTCGATTTATTCAGTTCTGTTACACCAAATATGCGTTTGGTTTTGCTTTTTATGCATGGCATTTCCGTCTTTTCACGTATCTAGCTATTCATTCACAGAATGCCTGGACGAACGTTTGCGAACAGTGAACCGATATGGTTGTGCAACGCTCACACCGCAGATAGTAAAGTCTTTAGCCGCTCTCTTCTGGCAAAAGTTAGTTGTATTATATTGTAGTTGCTATATAACATTTCTTTTTTTGCGACTGCAAACGCTTAAATTAATCGTTTTTTTTGTGTGTTTGTGTGTTTTGTGCCTGTTTAGAGTGCTTCGGTTGTGACAGTGATTTGCTTCCCGTTTCTTGGAGGAGTCGTTGAGATCGGTACTACAGAACATGTAAGGCAAAATTTCCATTTTCTGTCACAATTTGAGAATAGTTATAAAACAACCACTAGTTAAGTTTATAACAGTGCGAACTAATTCATCAGACCGACGAATTAAGGTATAAAGTTATGATACAAAAAGTTTAAAGACTTATCTTGTTGTGTGTTTTATCCCGTAGATCATAGAGGACATGAATGTAATACAATGCGTGAAGACATCATTCCTCGAAGCTCCAGATCCATACGCTTCACTGTTACCAACAAGATCCGATTATCACATCGACAACGTTCTCGATCCGCAACAGATCCTAGGTGACGAGATTTACGCGCCTATGTTTGGTACTGAGACTTTTCCGGCGACTTCTCCTAGCAGAACTACCAGCAGGTTCGATCCTGAACACGAGCAAGTAGCAGAAGATCATGACTCGTTCATGGCCGAAGGAATCAATGGAGGAGCTTCTCAGGTTCAAAGCTGGCAGTTCATGGACGAAGAGCTTAGTAACTGCGTTCACCAATCGCTTAATTCCAGTGATTGCGTCTCTCAAACGTTTGTTAAAGCAGCGGCTGGACGAGTTTCTTGCAACGCAAGAAAAGGAAGGGCTCAAAGGTTAGGGCATATTCAAGAGCGGCAGAGAAATGTGAAAATGTTGTCTTTTGATCCAAGAAACGATGACGTTCATTACCAAAGTGTGATCTCCACAATTTTTAAGACCAACCATCAGTTAATTCTCGGACCGCAGTTCCGGAATTGCGATAAGCGGTCAAGCTTCACGAGGTGGAAGAAATTATCGTCATCATCATCTGGAACCGCGTCAATCGTATCACCGTCACAAGGAATGTTAAAGAAGATTCTTTTCGAGGTTCCTCGAGTGCACCAGAAAGAGAAGTTGTTGTTGGATTCACCAGGGATCGGGGATGAAACCACGAACCACGCGGTTTTAGAGAAGAAACGGCGTGAGAAATTGAACGAACGGTTCATGATCTTGAGATCAATCATTCCATCAATCAATAAGGTATATATAACCGAATCTTCAAAAATTCAAATTCATATTATGTAACCAGAGTTAACTAATTCTAGGTTTGACATTTTCAATAGATCGATAAAGTATCAATTCTTGACGATACGATAGAGTATCTTCAAGAACTGGAAAGACGTGTTCAAGAACTAGAATCTTGCAGAGAATCAACCGATACAGAAACACGTGGGACAATGACAGTGAAGAGGAAGAAATCTCACGACGCAGGGGAAAGAACTTCAGCCAACTGCACAAACAATGAAACCGGAAACGGGAAGAGAGTTCAGGTTGGAGAAACCGAGCCGGCAGAGACCGATTATACCGGTTTAACTGATAATTTAAGGATCGGTTCGTTTGGTAATGAGGTCGTTATTGAGCTTAGATGTGCTTGGAGAGAAGGAGTATTGCTTGAGATAATGGATGTCATTAGTGATCTCAACTTAGATTCTCATTCGGTACAATCCTCGACAGGAGATGGTTTACTCTGCTTAACCGTCAACTGCAAGGTACAGCCTTTAACCTAATTTTTGCTTAACCGGGATAAGGTTAACATGGATTGATATATTGTGAAATGTTGGTTTCAGCACAAGGGTTCAAAAATGACGACAACAGGAATGATCAAAGAGGCACTTCAAAAGGTTGCATGGATCTGTTGAAGACTACTTGGTTTATACTAGCAAATATTCCCCGATTAAGTTTTCTAATATTTGGTATTCTTCAAGCAGCTTTTAGGAATTCATGTAAAAACATTTATATAATTTTGTGACTTTTTTTTGGTTGCTTAACGTAGGTGAAGAAACAAAAATAAAGACTGAAAACTATGACTATTTTTTGGGTAGATTATTTTGTTAGCCGGTGAATTGAAGATAGCTCAAAGTGATTTGTATAGTAGTTTCACACTTTGGATATTCTTTTGTTATTTGTTATTTTTTGTTTTTAGTTTAAAAGAAAATGAAAAGGTGCGAAATAATTTGCAAAAATTTCAGTGAAAAGTACAACTATTCTAAATCCAGTTGGTTTTCAGTTTTATTATGTTAGATTGATAGCTGCTCTTGGTTATTTTCATAGATTAACGATTCTAGAAACTTGTGAGTAGCTGAGATTTTAGTTTGGAACTTAACTATTTTTTATTTGAAATTGATATCTGAGTTTCAATTTACGATTCCTCTTTTAGTTGCTCCAAATTTTCAACTTGCAATTTCTTTGTTTTCAATTGATGTTTTCGTTTGTAAAATAAATTTCTGATTGCAGTGATTTTAGCACATACAAAAATGAGCAACGACGTGGACAAGGACAACGAGGTTTGTTGCTCTGATATGAGGCAAGATGAAACACAACTGGCAATAAGCAAACAAAATTTCCGTGAAAAGTACATACAACTATACTAAATCCATATGGGTTTCAACCGATAAAAAAACCAATAAATTTGTTTCCTATTATTATTGCAAATGTTTCTTACTTTCTCTGTTTTTTATACATAATATTTAAGATTTTGTACATAAATTAAGAAATTATTTACTTTTCTCTTTTTCCAAAAATAAAATATCAATCCCAACACAACTTAACCAATAAAAAATAATATATAGAATTTAAACAGTTAAAACAATTAATTTTGCATTGATTTCTGAAATCATTATCAAATTTTGAACAAAAAAAATTTCTAAAACATTTTATAAAAAAAATGGAGAGAGTATTATTAAAGAAAAACAAATTCGAAAGATAAAAAAATAATGGAAATCTTCTTGGTACTCTATTAGTTCACACCCATAAATGTAAAAAAAAAAAATTAGTGGTCAAATGATTCACACGAAACTGGAGGAGACTCATACTTATTTGATTTTTTGGAATTAAAGTGTAAGAAATTATGACAAGAAACACAAATTAAGTAGCATCATTACCAAATTTTCTAACCGGCTCATAAATGATTTTCCTGAATAATATATTAAAATTAAATAAAAATAACTGTAATACCTTAATATTGCGAAGGCGTTGACCAAGTTAGCATGTTACTACTGTTTTAAAAGAAAATACCAGTGAGAAAACTCAAACTAATTTTTTTGTCTATGTCATTTCTGAAGTTTGCGTAGACCAATTATATCTGAAATCGCAGTAGAAAACCTCGAATCATATTCTATCAACTTTTAAGGCGAATCTAATATTCTCTGTTTTATAATAAATGTTATTCTGACATTTTTCAAATAAACTAAGAAAATATTATAAATGTCTATTATGTCTTTTGTTAATACATTAAAATAGTTTTTTTCTTTAATTATTAATAAACTAAAATAACAAAGATAAAATTGTCAAACTACATATTACAATTTTACAAACTGCATTGAAAACATAAAATAAGCTTTATTAAACAAAAATAAATTGTCAAAGTGACACTTATTTTAAAACGGAGAGAGTAATAAACACTACATTTGGTAAATGTAAATCATAATTATCTTAGAAGCTAGAACCAAAATTCAATGACTGGCCACAGCACATCACAGCACAGAAACCCATCATACCTCTTCTTATGGAAAATATTTTCTGTCAGTTAGCAAAAAAAAAAAAAAAAAAAAATTCTGTCAGACAACAACATATATCTTTCCTTTTGAACTGCAAAACCGAAACATAAATTCAAAGACATATATATCTTTCATCTGGAATATTGTATATACATAGTGACTAGTGAGAGAGAATGGTGAAGATGGTTAGGATTTTGGCTTGAAAAATGCTTCTCTCCGGTAACAACTTTATTTTACATGTTTATTCTTATGTCTCTGTCTATACCTTTTTCCCTGTAACAGCGAGATCTCGACCCGAAATCAAAACTAATCTCAGGAACTTATGAAAAAGTCATCCGAGATTAGGAATCGATTTCCTCTAGATGCATTCTCAATGTTAGACGAATATTTATGCTTTGAAACATTAATCCTTGTGTTCATTTTGTTTTCATAAAGTTTAATATGTCTCTCTCTCTCTCTTTCTCTCTCTCTCTCTCTCTCTATATATATACTATATGTACATATGATCCATTACATCAGACTAGTGTTGTTTTGTTTCTTGCAGCTGTCTGAAAACTCGTAAAGAGAGTTGAAATCTTTAAGATCAGAGTGAAAAAAAAAACCTTGAGATCTTGTAAGAATGGGATATGAGCAAGTAAGGAGAAGGAAACCGAAAGCTGTTTGTGCAGAGGATCCTAAGAAGAAAGAGGAAACGGTGATGGAGACGGATGATGTTGGAATGTTTATGAAGACGTTGCTCGATGAACTTACGGCTTCTAGAGAGAGCTTAATGGATTGGATGAAGGCTGAGTTGCATGGACCACCGGATCAAAATGTCGTGTCTCGGCCGCCTCTAAAGAAGAGAGCGGTTGCTGCGGTCGCATCGCAGAGATCAGTGAAGAAGAAGGGAGAAGAGGAGATTGAAAGACAGAGCAAACCGGACGAAATTTGTCAAGAGATGAACAAACCTAACGGGAAGAGTTCAGAGATAGCGAAGAACGGTGGAGATCAAGTTCAACAACTTCATTATAATGCTGGACCGTTAAATATGTTTCTCAAGAGCGTTCAAGACGGTCAAGGCGGTTTAGGCAGGGACTATTTTCAGCAACAAGAACAAATTGAGAAGAATGCTACCGTGACGAAACAAAAGAGCGTTGTATTGGCCATCAAAGCTCCAAAGTTGTTGAGTCAGAAACAAAAGAAGACGAGAGAAGCCAACACCATCAAAAACAGAGCATCTATGGTGGAGAGAACAGGATCCGAAACGCAGAAAGATGATTACTTTGCGCCACAACTGTCTTTATCGCCATCGTTGCAGAGTTTTCCTGTAGGTTCTTCGTCGAACTCGTTGTTTCTTCCTTCAGGCCAAGGGATTACTACTTTTCCAAGTGACAACAACTTTCAGCGGAGACGATCACCAGCTACTCAAATTCCTGATCTTTCTGAATTTCAGACAGGAGCCACAGGAGGACAAGGGTTTGGGAATTCTCTGTTCCACAACAACGGTTACTTTTCTGGTTTTCCGGCAGCTTTCCAGCCTAATCTAATGGCCAGCAGTTATAATTTTCCGGCACAAGTGAATCCTGCAGCTTCTTCACAGCAGAGAGACGATAACAATATGTTCGGTGGTCGGAGAATGGCCGGTGGAGCCACAAGATATTCCGGTGGCAGGTTTCCCGAATCCCAACTCGGAGACGGTTACAGAACTAGATAAATGCCTGCTCCAGATACAATGAGCAACCATTACATTACATATCTGTTGGCTGCTTCTTAATTAGATCAAAATACAACTCGTAGTAATTGTATAAGATCACGTCGCTAGAGAAGTAGATATCATTCACAGCCTTGGTGTGACACATGTTCGCCCTTACTATAAAGAGTACCAGAGTTAAAAGCTTGATGCTTGGGACAGCTTCATCAAGTATTGGATTTAAGAAGATTCATTCTTCTCAGAGACAATGTAAGTCGCGCTAACTAGTCGAACTGAACCAACTCGTGATCACCTCGAACCAAAGCTTGATTCTGGCTCATTAGATCGATACTCCACGACTAGGACTTTGCCAAACCTCGATAAACTGCTGATCCTTTCGAGTCACAAACATTCTGCTACCTCCAAACGCCACTCCGGTTATCTTGTTTTCTCCTGAATCCGCCAGTTTACCGAACAGATTCTTCTTAAAAACCCTCTCTTTCGGTACATCCCGGGTTGCATTACCTATCAAACCTGTGATCACTTCAGACCAAAGCTCGATCCCACTTCCTTTACTGCAAAACACATGATTCCCATAGCTCTCTATTTTACATCCAGCTCCTCTTCTCTCACTCAAGCTTCTCTTTTTATCTTCGCCAAGACAAATCCATGGATCCTTGGATCCTAAACTCCTCAAATCGGTGTAGAAAACCTCCCCTGAAGTCACACCGACCTTGAAAACCGCCGAGAGATTATCCGAGACGGTCACATCAGAGAAACAGTCTCGTGTCTCCTTAATCTCGCAGACCATATTCTTGGACCTAACATCCCAAAACCGTACATGACCATTCACACCAGACGGGCTACTATGAGAACCAGAGACCATCAGCAGATTACAACTCTGAATCCATCTCAGCTTCGTCGATGGGATTGCAGAATCAATGTCAGCGCCATAGATCTCGCCATGGTCGATTTCGGAGACAGGCAAAAGGGTAGAGAGATCATACACCATAATCGAATTGGAGTTCCTTCTGCTAGATTCAAAGCTAGTGAACAGAAACTCAGAGGAAGAGCCTATGGCTTGCACCGTTGAGCTAGACCTAGTCAGATTTTCCCAATTCAGAGTTGTGCGGACGAGTCCTCCGTTTTCGATATCGATGATTTGCAAACCTGGGAAATCGGTGGCTCCGGCTGCTAAAACTCCCGGCGATATCTCCAGAAGGGAGTCCACGGCGGAGAAGTTCGTCAACACCGTCGATTTCCGCCTCAACGACCAGTCGAACGAAGTGATTTTGCTCCCGTGCGCCACGTGGATCCCTCCGCCGATACCCGTCGGTGCGATCGTCGACGGAGAATCTCGACCGTTCAAAGGAAGAATCCGGGATTTACGGAGATCGAACGCCTCAAACTGCGACGAATTCGAGAGAGAATCGATCAGGAAAGACTCGATTCCGTAAAATCTAGACTCCTCGATCAGATCTCGGACATCGAAGGCGCGTGATCTCGCAGGCAGGTTTCCCGTACGGAGGATATAGAGAAGGACGGAGAACAAATCGGGATCTCGATCGACGAATCGAGCAGACTCAGTGGCGAGTTGAGAGAGGAGAGAATCGGTTCCTGCTAATGTTAAGGTTTGTTTCGTCGTTTGGAAGATTCGGCCTCCAACATTGATGGAGACAACATTCGGTTCATGAGCGATGATCGGAAAATTCATCGGATAAAGTCACAAAAACCTTCGGATTCTTGAAGCAGCAGACGAGAGGCGAGAGAAAAGAGTTAACGAGAGTTGAAATTCTTTTAGTAAGCTCAAACCGGTATGACCCATTTGCATTTGAAATCGGAATTGCTAACAATTCGGTTCGGTCTAAATAATGTACACAAACGTCCAAATTTCACAGGTTCAGTTATGAGCATAATTTTTTTTATCATATACACAAAACCAAGCCCCTACGATCATATCTATATTAGAGCATCTCTAATCAAAACTTCAAATATGAAATTTATTGCATTTCAAGAGAAACTTCAAAACTTCAAATTTAAAGTTTCATATTTTTATTTGCATTTCAGTCTCTCAAATTATATATAATATGAATAATTATATTTTAGTTTTATTGTTTATCACTTTAGTCCATATAATTTTAGTATTTCATATATATGTATATATATTTAATTTTTGTATACAGATTAAATAAAAATATTAAAATAAATTCAAAATAAATATTACACATTATTGTAAATATTTTTTATTACACAACAACAATTATATATAAAGCAAATTTAATACAAAATATAAGAAAATAAATTACATAAACACATAAATATTACACAAATTGAAATACTACAATAATACTAATATTAAGGTAACTTTGAAATGCATTGATTAATCATATATGAACACACTATGGAAGTAGTTTTATTGAATAATTTGATATTTTATTTGTAATTTATAATTTAATATGTGTATATTATGTATTTTTATATTATTATGTAATGTTTTATTGATTAGTATTGGTTGTAATATTTTTATATGTATGTTTTAGTTATTTATAAAAGTTTTATGATGTTAATTAATTATTATCAATATTGAGGACTATAATGTAAAATATAAATAGTTTTGAAGTTTTTTTTGAAGTTTACCATTGGAGTGTAACACCTCTAAACTTTAAATTTGAAGTTTGAGAAACTTTAAATTTGAAGTATCTCTTGGAGATGCTCTTAATATGTAAAAAAAATTATAGATTTTTTATAATATTAATATTTAAAAGGATTTATTAGGAATGTTTGTGACTTTTTTGTTCCAATAAACATAGTTGAAAATTTTGATTATAAGAGGTTAATGAATAGTTTTTAGACAAGAAACATATTTTAATAAAAAAAAAGTAATTTACTAATTCTTTTTTGTTATACATTTATGAAGTTGGTTGTTTTTTTTAAAAGCTTTAATATGATTTTTTTAATATTATTACTGTTTGTAATTTTGCACGAAAATACACACTTTTGCACGAAGAATACACACTTTCTAAATTTGCATATAATAACAATAAGCCTTTCTAAATTCATTCTTTTGCTAGGCTATAAAAGGAAACAGCAAAGACACATTTACAAAGCCAATATAGCCCAAAGAAATCTCTTTGCTGAGATGTCTCTGGTACTCAGTAAAGCTTCTAGGCATTTGCTTTGTGGGATTAGGATTTTGTACACCATTGCTCTCGTTGTTATCGGGATTGCTCTTGGGTTTCTCAATTTTATTTCATTGATTTCTCTCAGTTCTCATAATTTCTATGAAATATGATCTTTCTCATCGTTGAAACTTTATTTTATTTTTAAGTGATTTCTTTAATTATTTTTATCGATTTTCTGCTTGATAACTGTAGAATTCAACGTAGTGATACTTGTTTGATTACAGTTTCAGCAGTTATATTCGAATTTATTTGGAAGAAAAAGAAATTTCATTGATTGAAACTATTCCTGCTCAATCTCTAAATAGTTCTTTTGAATGTTTCAGAATATGAAATCCATCACAAACTTGGGAAGGTCGGCCACATAATTCGTATTTGTAAGCTCTTAGTTTTGAATAGATACATCAAGATTTTGACTGATGATTTGAGAATCAACAATTTCGATGTTATTGCTGTGCGGTGAATAATATCGATCCAAAACTTTTTTTGGCCGTTTTTCTTCTGGCTCTTCTTCTTGAAAGTTTGTTTTCAATGGAAGTTCACCAGATCAAGGTTTGCTTTTCAAGAGTTTTTGTAATTGAGCTGCTCTGACTCTAACTCATAGTTAAGCTTAAGGTGAAGAGAAATAAATTGAATACTAAATGCTTTTGGTTATTGAGATGTTTGGGACATTACCTCGATTCTTTGGCTTAAGTTCAAATCTTCTAACAAAATTCTTTAAAAGGGATAATGAAAAATTTATATTAAATTTTTTGCTAAGAACACGAATTAGAGTTTTATCAATGAAAATGGTCTTAGGTTACACTATTCAAATAGTATCCCTTTATGCACAGGATACCAAAGATGTTGGTCATCAACTGGTTTTGTTTTAGGGTAGCTCTAGAAGTAGTTCACATCTTTATGACATGTATATGTTTACATGTGAAGTTAAGTGACATATTGAACATGGTTTTTATTCATCTGAGCCAACCAGTGCTCCTATTGTTGGCTCCAAGAGTTAGCATATCGCATCAATAGAGATCAATTGGTTTATTTTTTTCATTTTTGTTGTGTATAATCATATTTTTTTTATTATTCTCTATGTTTCAAAATAAGTGTCACTTCGACATTTTTCACACAAATTAAGAAAATTATTAAAAAAGTTTTGTTTTACCCTTTATTCACACACAAAATAACATTCTCTTTCTAAATAAAACAATAAAATTTAAAGGTTAAAACTAGATATTTATTCAAAATTATGCATTGAAAATGTAAAATGACACTTTTTATAAAAAATAAAATAAAATGATACTTAGTTTGAAACAGATAGAGTATATGGTTATTTGATTAATTATGATTGTTTTTAGAGAAAATAACCTATAATAACCTATTTTTTTTAAAAAAAAATAACTAGAATAACTTAATAATCATTTAAGTAAATTATAATTCCTAAACTACACTTTTAATCAAATCAACACACTATTTATTTTCGGTTTATAAAAGCATTGATTACCACTAATTAAATTACTTTTTGAACATCATTGTTTAACTTTTTAAAAATATCTTTGATTCTAAAATCTATATTAACTTAGTTCTTGTTTCATCTTAGTTTTCGCCAACTAAACTATTGTTCTTACCGTTGATCTTGTCTCTGGTTTTTCTATTAAATTCGTTGGAATCGTGAACAGTTTTCGTGATCGCATATTTTCGTTTCTATATTTGTATGTCATGTCTTCGAATTGGCATGCTTTAATCATTGTATTTAGTAGATATATATATATATATATATATATATATATATATATTGAAGGTATTGTAGGGAAAGTATTTATGAAAATCTTAAACAACAAATTACGCTTGTTTTATAGTTACTGAGTGCAATTTTCCTAAACAAAAATTATGCAATCAGCCACAAACACACAAAAAAAAAGAATAAATTATGGAACCAATAAACGGTCTAAAACCGGTATGAACCATTTATTTGAAATCGGAAAGGCTAACAATTCGGTTCGGTCTAAATAATGTACACAAACGTCCGGACCGGTAAATTTAAACAAGTAAACAAACACAAAGGGAGAGAAATAGATGAGAGATTTCACAGTTTCAGTTATAAGCATAAAATAAAATTCATGATCGATCATATACATAAAACCAAGCCCCTGACCAAATCCCGGTTCAAGGATCTGGTTTGCCTGCAATTGCAACATCATCATCATCATCATCTTCACCATCAGAACCATATTCCTCTTCACTTAGTTCTTCATCGCTTGACTTATCTTCTGAACCTTCCCCTGGTTTTGCATACTTCTCACAGTATTCTGAAAACCGCAAACCGAGACAAAAACCAAACATCACAAGCGCAAAATGACCTAATCAAACTTCCTTACAGTGTTGCGTAATCAAAGACATCATCAACACCTACGGTTTAAGCTTTTACAAGTGTATTGTTGATCACCTCTTTAGCTAAGTAGAACAAAATGATATCAAAAAACTTTTGTATCTTCATCATGAGCTTCAAATGAGGAAATGACCATTCAGTAACTAAACAAAAGCTATAATCAATTAGAACAAATAAACACTAATGAGTAAGAGGAACAAATAGCTTCAAGTGGTAATCTTAAGAACACAACCATTAAGAACAAGTTCAAGATACTAACAATTCTCAGTATCCTAAAAACTTTATAACTCACATCGGTTTTCAGAATCTTGAGACTGAAGTTTTATTGAATTACCTTTAACTCGCTGTTCATAAGCAGGACGATCACGCATCATCAATGCAGCAGCTTCACCATTCAATGGATCTGATGGGTTTGGATACAAGAGAAGCTGAGGAAGAAATGTCTCAAACACATTCACAAGGTCTGAGAAAAGAAACAAACAAAACCAAAAGCATTAAAAAGTTAAAACCAAAACCTTCAAATCAAAATGTCCACAATCAACAACATTTGATCTAAGCACTTACCAAACATAGGACTCCAAGTCTGGTTAATCACATCTAAACAAACAGAACCCGACCTGCATAACCAAAGATAAAAGAGATCTAGAAGATTCTCTCAAGAACAAGAATGAACACTGTACAATCATTTATCTAAATCAAACTCACAGTTCATCAACATTTGGGTGATAAATCTTAGTAATGAAACCAACAGATGGAGATTTGTAAGGATAAGCATCAGGAAGCTCAACTCTTATCTTCCACACACCTCCTTGATACAGACCTATCAAAAACACACATAAACCCCACAAGTAAGAACAACAAAGAGGACATCGTTTAGCAAAAAATCTCCAGAATAAGAATAAAAATCTCAGAAAATCACCAGTAATTGCAAAACCCTATCATCATTCATAATCAGTAGAATCAGAATCAGAATCAGAATCAAAACGCGGAAGAGCCAGTGTTTGATTAAGAGGAAAATTGAGGAAAATTGGGGATTTAGTGAATCAAAAACACGGAAAAATCAAATTGATGATTCTTACTGTCTTTGGGTCCATTGAATTCAACATAGAATTCTTGCATGCCATCGTTGATCGTCTCCACTTTATAATCGCTCATCATCCTGAAGCAAGATCAAATCAATCAGCCAAAATTAACCTTTTTGAAATTAGAAGAAACCGACACCAAAAACATCAAGATTTGAAAAGAAGAAACGAGTAATTACAGCTTCATCATATCCATTTCTCTGCGTTTGCTTGGCGAAGACATCTTTTCTTTTTTTTCTGGGTTCGCTTGATTTATCTGTTTTTTTTTTTTCTTCTTATTTTCTGGGTTTTTTGTGTTCTTCCGGATTCGAGTGGAGATGAAGAAAAATGTGTGAGAGGAGAAAAATGAAATATTTTTTATATTTTTTATACTTTTTATATTAATTATTTTTTCACATACACCGATGATGAAGTGAAAGTGTGAAACGAATACCGTATCTACGGAAAATAATGGATTTAGTGGTACGTTAGCGATTAAAGGTTACTTACGGAAGACATCATTATATTCACTTTTTAATATATTCTTTTCGAAAATTACTGGTTTTGTAACTTTGATTTGAGATCAACAATTTTTGCAGAAAAAAAAAGAAAAGCGAAAACCGTATATTTTATGTATATTTGTTACTTCTCACGGTAAATTTTGTGAATCAGTTTTGGTAATACTGTAGTTTCTGTTTTTTTTCAAATTACTTTCTCCCAAAGTAACAATTAAAGAAACACAAGAAAAAAATATTTGCATTGAAATTCAGTATTAACAATACTATTATTCATCAATGTTTTACCTTTCAGTTAAAACTTTACCTATCAAAATTGATGGTATGACTCACTGATTTTGTTTGGAAATAAGAGAAGTGTCAGAGAAAGTATTACAATTAAATTTTAATATATCAGTTCATAATTACAACTTTTAAAAGTTGATTTATATCTATGAGCTAAGATGTAATTTTGAATGTACAGTGTTCTCTTTTGTTGAGAAACTTTAAATATAATTCAAAAGTAAAAAGAAGTCCACAGATATATAATTAAGAGTGTATATAATCAAATAACTTTTTTCTTTTAATAATTCTTCTCTTTTTAGTCTTAAAAGAAAATATTATCAAGTAAGATTTTTTATCTTGTCCTTGCTGAATTATTTGAAGAGGTGACACAATCTAACCTAAGCTACACGCTTTTATGACACGTTGCAGGTGTACGACAAAAAAGGTTGGCTAATGTCAGATCACATTTTTAAAACATCTAATCTAGTAATTAATTTACTACAGTCATTGATTTAACTTACTAAGAAAATGTATCACATTAAACAAGCTGAGACAATAAAAAACATACAAGTTTTCGGGAATGTGAAATAAGATAAGATTAAAAAACATACACACTGTCTAAACATTTTCATTTTTCATATTACATATCACAAAATAAGAAAAAATGATGTAAATTAACACTAAACCCAACTAAACCGTAGATGTAATAACTCAATTCAATTTCAGCTTGATTACTATTTCCACATCTCAAACATACCTACAAGACTGAACAAAATCAAAATAGAACATCTACAACTTCATTTTTTTTCTGTTTATTCACAGAAGCGAGTCTTAAACCACAAACCCCTAAATTCTTATCTTAATCTTCGTTTCGTAGACGAATTCAAACGTATGTACAAGCATATATGTATATCAACACTGATGTGTAAATGCAACTTGTGAATCAAGAACGATACTATAGTGTCTTCTTACCATTTTACTTTTTCTTTATAAGTTTCTTCTCCTTTTCTCAATCGTGCCTTCTAAGCTGTGGTACTTGCAGGTCGCGCTAGTCGAGGGGAGACTCGAATACCATTTCCTACATAACAAAGGATCCTCTCAGACACATTCTCGGGAAGTAAAACGAATATGTTGTGTCCCAAAATCAAGAATCACTCATTACTGGTTACTAGAGATTTATACATCAAAGAGAATCTACCACATACCTTGTTGCAGACGGGGCAGGTTTCACTTCTCTCCATCCATTCTAGAATGCATGCGAGGTGAAAATGGTGATCACATTGGGCTAAAAGTTTCGGGTTCTCGACATCATATTCTGAAATCAAAAGCAAAGACAAGATGAATAAATAACCCATTCACAGTCATCTAAAGTGTGTGTTGAGATGCAAAGAAGGCAAAAAAAAAACTTTTTACCTTCCAAACATATGGGGCAATCCTCCTCTTCCTCTATTGGTACAAAGACTTCTTTTGATAGCTTCGGGTCTATATCTTCAGTAGATTCAAGATCAATCTCTGTTTGGAGTTTGCTTTCTGTTTCTTTATACGAGCATGTAGTTGGAACACCGAGAGTGATACCGTCGACTGTTTCTTGCGCAGACTCAGTATGAGCGGTTTCCACTGAAACTTCTCTTATGTCAACGCAAGCAGTCTCTGTTTCAACATTCCCTGGTGGTGTCTGAGGAACTCCTATAGCCACATCGAAAGGAATAGGCGGTGGTGGTGGAATATAAGCATCAGGAGATGATGTCTCTAAGTTTGTGTCTACTACTACAACACCAGAGGAGATTGCAGAGGATGTCCTGTTGTGAGCAGAAGACAAAGGCACACGCTCTTCTGTTGCCCTCGGATACTGCTGTAACAAGTTCAACAAAAAAAGATACGAGAATCAACACATTGGAACAACAATTTGAACTTATAATGGAAAACTCATCCCCAAAGCAAGATTGATACATTTTGTAGACTATATTCGCAAGAACACAACAAATATAAAAGTAGGGAAGAGTTAAAAAAGAAGGAAAAGGAAAGTTGAAGAAGCATTATCACACTAACGTAATAGTAGGCAGGTCCATTTTCTACATCAGCTCTTCGTGAAGAACAACAACAGCAACCTCCCATTTCTTCTTCTTCGTTTATATAATCACAATTCCAAAAACCGAAGACTCTTCATCTACGCTAACCTACAAGCAGTGTGAAGAAACAAGAAACAAAATTACATTCTTGACTTCCATAGAAAAAAAGTGCAGATGAATTACATTTCATCATTTATCATCCTGCAAGAAGCTGATACAAGCTTTATCGTTTTCAATGTAACTTTCATGCTCACAACAATAATTACATTTACAGCTAAAACATAAACTCCAAAAGCTCAGCTAATAACAGTCCAAATTAATAATCAATTGACACACCAATAATCTCTTCTCAAATGTTGAGATTAAGCCTAATGTGCAAATCTTAAATCAGGAGAAATCAAACATTCTCAATCACTTTAGCACCATCTGCACACAACTACAGTAAATTTCAAAACATTTTCATACTAAAACCCCAAAGCCACAAGCAATTCTATTCGAATTTAACTCCAACAAAAGCATTAAAATCCCTAAAAACACACACAAAAGTAGAGATTCATTGAGAGATGGCTACTACGTTCACAATCCCGAAGCTCCGTAAAACCCTAAACCGAAAACTTATCAAAAATAAACATCCGAATATCAGAATCTAGCATAAACACAAGGAGAATAACGGATCTAAACAGTCAAAACCCAGAGAATTTCACACAAAAATCAGCTCATAAAGCAGAGACGGGGAAAAAAAAAAAAAAAAAAAAAACGAAACAGCAGCGATCAGTAGCAAGATCAGAGACAGAGCACGAACCGATCTTCCTTCTCGAGATTAAATCAGGAAGAGGAATTGAAAAATCTCAAAATCCAAGAGAGAATTTTACTTTTGGTACACACACCTTTCTCGAGAGAAACTTTTTGCTTTTTGTTTTGCCTCTCGTCCCCTCTGCTTCTGCGCTGCTGTTTATCGTGCGCTCTATCAAATGACTTTCCTAAGAAAATAGAAGACTCATCTCTGATTAAAATATCTAATTTTAATTATTATTGTTCATAATAAAGTAACATACACAACATATATATAACATTATGATTCCACGGTTGTTTGCCCAGTATAAAAGTAACAAAGTTTACATTTTTTTTTGGTAAATACAAAGTTTACATTATTCGCTTTAACAGATACTTAGAAATTAAGAAAATACGGGTTAAATAATTTGCTTTTGAGTTTAAAACTATAATTCCCACTAATGAATGATTTTATAGTATACTTTATTCCAAAAACTACCCACTTGGCATTTTATTTTCAGTTCCTCTTTAAATTACCACATAATTTCACTAATGAATGATTTTATAGAAATGGTCTATATGTTGACCCCAAAAAAAAAAATGGTCTATGTTTTCATGTCAAACTTTTACAATTTTTATTTGTTTCTTTTTTACATAGAAAAACTTTCTTTTATATTAAGTATAAGTATTTCTTGGTTATTCAAAGGGGAAAAAAAAAAGAGTAGAATATCAATCTTTTGTAAAATATCCCAATGTGTTAAAAAAGACTTTAAGACGTGGATTTTTCGTGTATCGACGTGGGTTTTCTACAGACGTCAACACACTCAAAACCGTTTGATTGTATCATCCTTATGGCCACGTATACTTGCCCCCACCAAAACTCGCTTTAGCTCTCTATAAAGTATATAAAACAAACATGAAACATTGAGAAATTATCAAGTTAAAAGAAAGAAAAAATTGATGCTAACAGAATTCGTTAGATTGTTTCTGATTTTTTTAATCTTCCGTCTTCAGTTAAAACTGATTTACTCGGTTCGAAATGACGAAATGTCACTATATGATTTGGTTAAAGCCATTAATACAATGATTTGATTGAAATATGAATTTAGTTGAAGTTAAATAATTCAATTTTGGTTACTATAAACATATTAAAACTTAAAAATTTAGCACAAATAAATTTTATCTTTATACAAAAACTGGGAAATTGCATTTTCTAAAAAAACAAAAAAATTTCATTTTCTCACGAAACTGAGAAATCGTAGCTTTCCGCCAAAACAAAAAAAAAATTATTTTTTCATCTAACCTGAAATTTCGTTTTCCTACCAAAATAAATAAATTGTATTTTTCCGCAAAAATCAAAAAGTTATATTTTTCTCTGAGAACCTGTATTTTCCCGCCAAAACAGAGAAATCAAGTTTTTTCACCAAAACAAAAAAAAATCTCATCTTTTGCAAAAACCAAAAAAATATTTTTCCCGCAAAAACCGAAAAATCGTCTATTTCCGCCAAAACAAAAAAATAATTATTTTTCTCATCAAATCAAAAATTACGCATTCCTACCAAAACCGATAAACTACAATTTCCCGTGAAAACCAAAAATTGCATTATCTCCTGAGAAGTTGTGTTTCCCGCGAAAACCAAAAAATCACATTATATGTCAAAAACTGAAAATTTGCATTTCCCATCAAAAACTAAGAAATTGTTTATTCCCGTCAAAATAAAAAAAATTGTTTTTCCATCAAACCGAGAAATTACATTTTCCGTCAAAATTGTCAAATTACAATTTTCCGCGAAAACTAAGAAATCACATTTCCCGCGAAATTTATCCATCAAACGCCGAAAATTTGCATTTCCTATCAAAACCGAAAAATTGTATTTTTCGTCAAAATTGAAAAGTTGCATTTCCCTCGTATTTTCTCGTCGAAACTAAGATATTTTGTTTTTGCGTCAAAATCAAAAAAAAAATTCTCACAAAAACTAAAAATTCACATTTTTCCGCAAAACCCAAGAATTTCCTTTTTTCCGCCATAACTGAAAAATTATGTTTTTCAACCATAACTGAAAGTCACATTTTCTTACAGAAACCAAGAAATTCTCTATTCCCACCAAACCCAAAAAAATTTGTTCTCGGTAACCACCGGAAATGCGAATCTCCAAGCTGTGGTGATCTGAGCTTCTCTTCATTTGCTTTCGACGTCTATTTTTTTGTAAACTTTGGGTTTTTTAATGGGTGAGCAAAATAGTAAACTGATTTTATTATTGTGTTAATGATATGTATTATGTTTATATTTTTATTGGTTCAAATTTTTGCTGATGTGTGAGCTTCTTATAACATAACGTTTTTTGCGTTGTTGTTATAGATGCATAGTTGATGATGAGTCTACACTTTCTTCAATCATATACGTCTCTATCAAGCAAACACATAGTTAGAAATTTTAATTTCTTATTGCTGTTATTTATTATTGGAGTTTTGGTTTGGCAAGAATATAAAACAAAGATTTAATTTTTTTTTATTTTCTGTTATTTATTATTTGGATTTGGGGATGGTAAAATATAAAATTATTTTTTTATTTACTGTTATTTATTATTTGGGTTTGAGTTTGGCAAAAAAAAAACAAAGATTAACAAAGAAAAACATTTGAGTTTTTAATGGGTTTAAGTTAAAAATAATAAAAGTTAGTAGATGATGTATATTAATAAAATGTTTTGATTGGTATTTTTTTTCTGCCGAGGTGTTAACTTTAGAAAGTTTGAAAAATCTGATGTGTCATCTCCTCGAGAGACACTTTTGTTATTGTTGTATTGACTAGGTATTTACCCGCGCTATGCTGCGGGATATTTTTCTAGATTTTGTATATATTTTTAATATAATAAAATTATTTTTATAATATAAATGAGTATATATTTGTTTTTATTAGCTTTAATTATGTATTTATATGTTTTAAATCTGAATTAAATATCCTTAATTTTATTTTTATTTTTCAAATTATAATCTACTATCAAATTTGTTTAGCTAAATATTTATAAATGTATATATAAGAATAGAACAGTATATTTTTAAGTACATTCATGCTAATGGTAAATATAATTTATTTTCACTACTAAATTGCCACTTGATCATTCTTTGAAATTACATAAAGCAAATTACCATTCAAAAAAAAATATTAATTAATATGATTATCTTGAATTATAAAATTTATCTATTTATCATATATTTATTATAAACATATGTTTCTAAAACTACCTTAAACAAAAAAAAAAGTTTATAAAACAACCAAACTATAATCAATGACATTCATATCAAAATCATTGCTATTGCTTTAAAACTTAATAGAAAGTTCTCTTTGAACTGTTAAAATATCAATTTAGTTGAAGTTAAATAATTCAATTTTGGTTACCATAAACATATCACATAAAAATTATATCTTTTTACAAAAACTGAGAAATTGCATTTTCCAACAAAACAAAAAAATTTCATTTTGCCCACAAAACTGAGAAATTGCCTATTTCCGTCAAAACCCAAAAAAAAAATTACTTTTTCGTCAAACCTGAAATTTCAATTTCCTACCAAAACAAAGAAATGACATTTTCCCGCAAAAACAAAAAAAAAATCATATTTTTTCGCGAGAACTTGTGTTTTCCTGCCAAAACAGAGAAATCAAGTTTTTTCACCAAAACCAAAAAATTTCATCTTCCTGCAAAAAACAAACAATGTATTTTCCCGTCAAAAACCGAAAAAAAAATTCTCGCAAAAACCAAAAAATCGTCTATTCCCGCCAAAATAAAAATAAAAATTTATTTTTTTCGTCAAACCAAGAATCATGCATTTCTACCAAAACCGATAAACTAAAATTTTTCGCGAAAACAAAAAATTGCATTGTACGTCAAAAAAGTGAAAATTTTCATTTTCCATCAAAACCGAGAAATTGTTTATTCCCGCCAAAATCAAAAAAAATTTGTTTCCCCTGAAACCGAGAAATTGCATTTTTCGCCAAAATTGTCAAATTACAATTTCCCGCGAAAACTAAGAAATCACATTTTCCCGCAAAAATCAAAAAATCATATTATCTATCAAAAGTCAAAAAAATTACAATTCCTATCAAAACCGAGAAATTGTAGTTTTTCTTCAAAATTGAAAAGTTGCATTTTCCTCGAATTTTCTCATCAAAACTAAGTAAGGGTTATTGGTTCTTGTATTTTGATGGATTTAGAAATCTTCTTTGGATTTGATAAATTTAATAATTTTAAAATCAGCAAAATGGAAAAAAAAAAATCAAATTCACTCAATACCAAGGTTAGACCTTGTATTTGAGTCTTTGTATTTTAGTCATGAAAATTTTTCCAAATCCATTCAAATTCAATTAAAACTTAAATCTTTATAATATTTAGATTTTAAAATTATAGAACCAATAACACTGTATTTCATTATAGATTTTAAAATCATAGAACCAATAACACCTCCTAAGATATTTTGTTTCGAGTCAAAATCAAATTTTTTTCTCACGAAAATCAAAAATTTACATTTTTCCGTCAAACCCGAGAATTCGTTTTTTCCGCCATAACCGAGAAATTAGATTTTTCTACCAAAACTTAAAATCACGTTTTCCTACTGAAACCAAGAAATTCTCTATTCCCGCCAAACCCAAGAAAATTTGTTCTCAGTAACCACCGGAAATGCGAATCTCCAAGCTGTGGTGGTCTGAGTTTCTCCTCATTTGCTTTCGACTTCCATTTTTTGTAAACTTTGGGCTTTTTAATGGGTCAGCAAAATAGTAAACTGATTTTATTAGTGTGTTAATGATATGTATTATGTTTATGTTTTTATTGGTTCAAATTTTTCCTGATGTGTGAGCTTCTTATAACATAACACTTTTTGCGTTGTTGTTATGGAAGCATAATTAATGATGAGTCTACACTTTATATGTCTCTATCAAGCAACCACATAGTTAGAAATTTTAATTTTTTTGCTGTTATTTATTATTTGAGTTTCGGTTTGGAAAAAATATAAAACAAAGATTTAATTTTTTTTATTTGTTGTTATTTATTATTTGGATTTAGGGATGGTAAAAAATAAAATATTTTTTTTTATTTCCTGTTGTTTATTATTTGGGCTTGGGTTTGGCAAAAAAAAGTAAAGATTAACAAAGAAAAATATTTGGATTTTTAATGGGTTTAAGTTAAAATAATAAAAGTGAGTAGATGATGTGTATTAATAAAATGTTTTGATTGGTGTTTTTTTTTTACTGATGTGTCAACTTTAGAAAGCTTGAAAAAGCTGATGTGTCATCTCATGGAGAGACATTTGTATTATTGTTGTATTGATTTGTTTGAGTAAAAAAAGAAGTAACACATGTTAATTTTTAAGATGCCACATGGCGGCATGACTTTTGTTTCTGTTTGTTGAATGAAAAATAATCATTTGTAAAAGAGAAAAAAATCTGAAGCTTTCTTTTTGTGTTTGTTTAATGAAAGAAAATTTAATAGAAATTGTAAAAAGAGTCACATGACAGTATATCTAAAATAAATCCTCTCCCGGGATATATATAAACCTGATCTATTAAGCTTTGTTGGGAGACTTTTCTATGTGATGAAATGTCACTATATAGAATATTGTTTAAAGCTCTATATATATGATAAGTTTCTTTATCGGTGGTCTTTGACTTTATTCTTTTAGAGAAGTTTCATGGACTACCTCACAGATTCTAAACCCTTGTATAAGAATTCTATCTCTCAATGAATAAAACCAGTCGATGACAAAGAGAATAAATAAAACGAACTGTTAAACTAGATAGCTTAATAAAACAAAACAAAACACCAAAAAGGATGATTTTCTAACTTGTGGTAATGTCATGACTAGTCCTCAGAATCAGTTATCCTTTTATTCTTGTTTTTTTTTTTCGTTTTGCATCAGCGTTTCGTCCAACGTTTCGTCCGACTTGTGGTAACCACCAGCGTTTCGTCCAATGTTTCGTCTGCTTATTAGCAACACGTAGTGACTTTCCGCTACGCACACAAGTTGGAGACGGCGTAACAACACTTTGTGAGCTTTCGCCACAAGCAGAAGTATTGTCGTGAAGACGTTGTTGTGAGTTTCTTCCGCTTTGGTCATTAACGATAGGGCTTCCTCCACCTAACAGGCTTGTCCAAAGCCATACCGAACTTGCCTTACCAAGTAGTTCTTCTGGTGCCTTTTCAGGATGTGCCAAGCCTAAGAGAATATTGACTTCTGATGAATCCGTAGAGCAAATAGAATCGACAACGTAATCATCGTAGTCTCGTAAAATTACCATCAGATTTGATGTCTTGTGTGACCGGCGCCAACCATAAATGTCCCCAAAAATCGTTGAACCTCTCTCAAATCTATCTATGGCTGATGTGCGTACGAGCTTGATTCCAACGGATTCGAAGTCGTCAGGGTTTAGATTCGTATCATAATAAACAGTGATTGATGATATTTCACCATGATAACCCATATTCTCAAGAGCTAATTTGATATTCTTACGTATCGAACCAGGACAGAGACCATTAGGGATCGGGCAGTCTTCGATGTCCCATAAGATGCCTGTCTCAGCCGTGGAGAATTTGTTGGACATGGTTGTTTCCATGGAGTGATTGATAAAACTTTGTGGAAATAATATAAAAGAAGAGTGTAAATTAGGGTTTAGATTGTGCAGACCAAACACTATCCTCTATATAATTAACAATATTTTAGGGTTTCGTTTTTTTTTAGCTGCGTACGTGGGAATCAAACCGACGTGATTGATGATATTTTTTGGTTGTACGCCAGGCCCGTCCCTCCCTTAAGGCACATAAAGCATATGCTTTAAACCAGAATTTTTTTTTTGCAATTTATAGGCCACACTTAAAAAAGTGATTTGTAGTGTACTAATTCCACTTCTATTATCAATACTTCATATGATTTGGTTAATATTATGGTTTATAATTTGTATTATATTTTTGGGTATTTTTGTTTTCTTTCATTTCATAATTATCTCTATTTTAGCTGTTTTTAGTCTTATTTTTACCATTTTATTATTAACAAATGTACTTTTCAGTAATTTGATAGTATCAAAAATTAAATATATAAGATATATAAACCTTTTCATTTTAATCATTTTTATTTTTTATAATTGTTTTACATAGTGTTAAGATAAATATTTTTAGTATTTTTAGGTGTTATGATAAATTATAGTATTATAGTGTTTTTTCTTATATAACTTGAAATACTTGAATAATTAAGTTGGTTTAAAAAAAGTATATGATAAAATAATGTGTATTTAAAATACATAAAAAACCATTAATAAAGTTATATAGTAGAAATTGTTTTTTGGAGTCAATATATAGTAGATTTATAGAGCCATAAAATTTTAATTTGCTTGAAGCCTTTCAATTATTAGGGATGGCACTGTTGTACACACTGGACCCAATTTGAATATAAAAAGCCCATAATTAGTCCGTTATGTTTTTGAAGCTGCTGGTGTGGTATTATCAAAGTGATGCTCATCATCAATATACAGTACGTTCAACTTTAATAGCTAGAGGTAAAGCAAGGTATGGAGTTAAAAAAAGTTTGTAAGCCTGATCGTTTAATAATAATTACTGTTATAGTACTGTGCATTAAAAGTTAAAGAACATTATGTAGAGTCACAATTATGAACATGATATCCACAATAGCAAACTTGTGTTACACGATAGCCAAGATAGCAACCCTGATATCTTTTGAACAAATTAACCAGAAGAAGGCTTATTCCCAAAGAAACTATAGCTATCCCGTAAAAGAATATATCCCACAGATAAAGAAAAAGCAAGTGCAAACCTGATTGAATATATCCCACAGATAAAGAAAAAGCAAGTACAAATCCTCTCTCGGGATATAAACATAAGTTTTAGGCTTTGTTGGGAAATTTTTCTATGTGACGAAATGTCACTCGCTATATATATATAAGATTTGACGAAAGTTAAATCTCTATAAGATAGAGTTTCTTTATCGGCGGTCTTCGGGTTTCATGGACTACCTCAGAGATTGTAAACCCCTTGTATAAAACCTCTCTAGCGATTAACAAAGACATTAAACGAATTGTTAAATTGGAGCTTAATCAAAACTTACAAAAAAGGAACAAAACAAAAAAAGCATTTACACGATTTCTAACTTGTGATAATGTCATGACAAGACCTGAGAATCTATATCCTTTCTATTCTTGTTGGTTCGGAGTTGTAGCTCTTTGTGATGAGCTTCCACCATAAACAGAAGTATTGTCGTCAAGACGTTGTTGTGAGCTTCTTCCGCTTTGGTCTTTGATAGGGCTTCCTCCAGCTGATAGGCTTGTCCAAAGCCACACCGAGCTTGCCTTACCAAGTAGTTTCCTTGATGCCTTTTGAGGCTGTGCTAAGCCTAAGAGTACATTTTCTTTTGGCGATTTCAAGTCGCAAATAGTCTCGACAACGTCATCTGACTCTGAGCAGTCTCGTAAAATTACCATCCAATTTGATGGGTTTCTTGACGGGGCCCAATCAAAAACGTCAGAAGAAATCTCTGAACCTCTCGCATATCTATCTATTGCTGATGTGCGTACGAGCTTGATTCCGGCGGATTCAAAGTCGTCTGGGTTTAGGTTCGTATCATAGTAAACAGTGATTGACACTTCACCTATATAACCCATATTCTCAAGAGCTGATTTGATATTCTTAGATATCAAATCAGGACAGAGACCATTAGGGACTGGGCAACCTTCGATGTCCCATAAGACGCTTGTCTCGGCCGTGGAAAATTTGCTGGACATGGTTGTTTCGACGAAGAGATTGATAAAACTTTGTGGAAAAGCAAAAGAAAAGTGTAAATTAGGGTTTAGATGGTGCGGGCAAAACACTATCCTCTCTATATATTGAAAAAATATTAGGGTTTCGATACTTTTAAAAATTGTCTTTGTTGTACGCACTGGACCCAATTTGAATATAAAAAGCCCATAATTTGTCCGTTATTTTTTTTCGAAGCTGCTGCCTGCTGGTGTGGTATTATCAAAGTGATGCTCATGTACGTACGTTCAACTTTAATAGCTAGAGGTAAAGCAACGTATGGAGTTAAAAAAAGTTTGTAAGCATGATCGTTTAATTAGAATTACTGTTATAGTACTGTGCATTAAAAGTTAAAGAACATCTTGTAGAGTCACAATTATGAACATGATATCCACAATAGCAAACTTGTGTTACACGATAGCCAAGCTAGCAACCTTGATATCTTTTGAACAAATTAACCAGAGGTAGAGAAGACTTATTCCCAAAGAAACTATCCCGTAAAAGAATATATCCCACAGATAAAGAATAAGCAAGTGCAAAACCTGATTGTCCATCATATCCTAGTAACAAGTTTAAAATAATTCATTACGGGATTAGTTTCTTTGTGTGTGGATATTGTTTCTTTAATGGATTTGTTACCCCATTATGGCTCATCTGCACCAACAAGTTTAAAATAATTCATTATTGTTGGTAGAGTATTTTTCTTCCCTAAAACAAATCCACTCTCGGGATAAAACCTAATTTATTAGGCTTTGTTGGGAGATTTTTCTATGTGACGAAATGTGATGAGGACATCAGTAGCAACCAATGAAACCCCCCACCCCCCCCCCCTCCCCCCCCCCTAAATTTGTTTGTTTAAAAAGAAGTCTTTTAAATCATTTGTTCTTGTAAATTGTTTAAGTTCTTTGATTAATCAGATTCTTATATTTTCGTGTGGAATCTAGAAGCTCATGCGAAGAAGAGCCCTTGAGATTTAAAATCTAAAACCGTGTTTGTAGAATCAAGCACAACCTTGTTATCCTTCTATATAAACTCCATCAACAAACTTAAAAGTTTGATTCAAGTGTATTAAGAATTGGTTGAACCAAGAAATTATTTAGAAAAACCCTTTTTATTATTTATTAAAAAGTATCTCTTTTAAACACTTGTTCTTGCAAGTTTTCTAAGCCTTTTGTTGAATCAAAGTTTGAAACTTTTGTGGAGAGTCTAGTTGTTCATGCGAGAAAGAGTCCGTGAAACTAGAATCTTAAAATGGTGTTTGTGGAATCAGACACACTTGTTACTTCATCATCTTCAACCCCTCTATCTACAAGCTTGAAAGTTTGGTTCAAGTGTGTTGAGAATATGGTGTATTCCATTCTTATATCAAAATGTCACTCAATATATATAGGATTTGTTTAAAGCTCTATAAGATAGAGTTTCTTTATCGGTGGTCTTCGGGTTTCATGGACTACCTCAGAGATTGTAAACTCTCCTTGTATAAAATTTCTCTCTCAATTAACAAAGACAATAACTGAAACGAATTGTTGAATTGGAGCTTAATGAAAACTTAGAAAAAAAAAAAGAAAAAAAAAGCATTTAGACGATTTCTAACTTGTGATAATGTCATGACAAGTCCTCAGAATCATTATCCTTTTTATTCTTGTTTTTAAGCTCGGCTTTTCCGTTTTGTTTCATTCCGCTACGCACACAAGTTGGAGATGTACGGCGTAACTGAAAGAGAGACTTAAACTTGTAAAGAAATGAAGAAGATGATAAAAGTTCTCATTTTGATTGCCATTCACTCTCTTAAGGGTTCAATGATTACACTGTTGTTTCTACTTATAAAACTTTCATAAAACCCTAGAGAGACAGATAGGTGTCGATCATCTAATCATCCATGAATCGATTTGTGGTTGCGATTTTGTACTCCTCTCCTCTACAAAGGGATTTTTAATTGGGTCTTGAACCTGCTTGGACTTTGGGCTTCCATATCATCTTATTGGACCTTGACTCTGTTCGGACTTTAGGCTTCCGTATCTTCTTCTGGGCCAAAGTCTGATTTCGTGTTGACGACGGTTTCTGCAATTGTTGGTTCAGAGTTGTAGAGCTTCCACCAGAAACAGAAGTACTGTCGTCAAGACGTTGTTGTTGTGAGTTTCTTCCGCTTTGGTCTTTGATAGGGCTTCCTCCACCTAATAGGCTTGTCCAAAGCCATACCGAAATTGCCTTACCAAGTAGTTCTTCTGATGCCTTTTCAGGCTGTGCCAAGCCTAAGAGAATATTGACTTCTGATGAATCTGTAGAGCAAATAGTCTTGACAACGTAATAATTGTAGTCTCGTAAAATTACCATCAAATTTGATGGTTTGTGCGACCCCCGCCAATCAGAAACGTCCAGAAAAATCCATCTACCTTTCGCAAATCTATCTATTGCTGATGTGCGTACGAGCTTGATTCCGACGGATTCGAAGTCGTCAGGGTTTAGATTCGTATCATAATAAACAGTGATTGATGATATTTCACCATGATAACCCATATTCTCAAGAGCTAATTTGATATTCCTACGTATCGAACCAGGACAGAGACCATTAGGGATCGGGCAACCTTCGATGTCCCATAAGATGCCTGTCTCAGCCGTGGAGAATTTGTTGGACATGGTTGTTTCCATGGAGTGATTGATAAAACTTTGTGGAAATAATATAAAAGAAGAAGACGAGTAAATTAGGGTTTATATCTCTTTAGCTGCGTGCGGGTCAAACATGTAGATTGGTATATATATATACTCCGTAAGTCATTGGGCCCAATTTGAGTATAAAAGCCCATAACTAATCCGTTATTTTTTTAGCCTTATAAATAAATGGAATGTGCCTTGTTTCTCTAGCAGCTATTGGGGTTCTTCATTCGCGTCGAGAAAAACCAGTCACCCCCCTCGCCATACCCGACTCGTTTCGGCAATCGGATACCCGACCCGGATCCAAATCAAAATCTCCGCCGGCGTTTCGGCTCGCTTCACGCCTCCGCCGGTATATCTATCCGTCGTGTAATTGGACGCCGTTTTTAATTCCCTTACGTCAGACGGTTTTCGCAGCCCTCACGGATTGATTAGAAAAAAAAGACAATCTATAAATCTCTGAATCGATTCGATCAGGATAGTCAGTATGGGACATGGTAACAGTCTCGATCTTGCTCCTTTTTGGATGGTTTCTCGATTTATATGTCAAAAAATCAAAGTATGCCAACACTCGAGGGAAAATTTTGATGTTCAGGTGAAAGAGGACGCTCTAGCAAGAAGATTAAGTACGGTGGGAAGGTTCGTGCTTAGTTTTTTTTTTTTTTATTTAGGCTTTTTCTCAGTGTTAGTTACGCTTAAGTCATTGTAAATCAATTCTCAGGATGATCAAAAGATGAAGAACATCCAAAACGAAGAACATTATCTCGGTGATGATTCAGATGAGGATTCTCGTGATGGTAATTTTTTTTTTTTTTTTTTTTTGCTTCTATATATGCATAGTTACATAGATACATGATGATAACATAATGAAAGCGAAATTTTTTGTAATGGTTTTGTAGTTGAAGGAGAGAAGAAGATTAGGGATAATCGCAGGTTGCAGTTGAAGCCAGATCATGTGAACAGGCCTCTGTGGGCATGTGCAGATGGAAAGATTTTCTTGGAAACCTTTTCTCCTCTCTACAAACAAGCTTATGATTTTCTTATCGCCATAGCTGAACCCGTTTGCAGGTGCTCTCACTGCTCATTCATATGTTTTTCTTGACGTTTTGCAGACCTAAGGCCCTGTGGTCTTCTTCTTCGTTTATAAGATTTTCTTTGAATTTGTTACTATTTCAGGCCAGAGTCTATGCACGAGTATAATTTAACGCCTCACTCGTTGTATGCTGCTGTTTCCGTCGGGCTTGAGACAGAAACTATCATTTCTGTTTTGAATAAACTGTCAAAGACGAAGCTACCCGAGGAGATGATTGAATTCATCCACGAGTCTACTGCCAATTACGGGAAAGTGAAGCTGGTTTTGAAAAGGAATCGGTATTTTATTGAATCCCCATTCCCTGAGGTAAGTTCACAAGGCTGCTTACTCCCTGTCTCTGGTCTTATGCATTTGTATATTGGTTTTGTTTTCTCCATTGGGTTTGCTCACTTGTGAAAAGTAAACAATCTCAGGTGTTGAAGAAGCTTCTCAGTAATGATGATATAAGGAATGCAAGACTTTCTTCTGAGGTGCGTTGAACTTCTCCATTTAATACTGTTATGTTTGCTTTTCGTGGTTTCTAGATTTTATATCTTGGATGGGAATACATACCATGATCTATTTCTCTCAACGGATTTTGCGTCTTTTGTCACCAATGTGGCAGAGATATATGTCCTGTATTTTCTCAGGTTCTTGGTTTCGTGCTTAAATTCTTAAGGTCTTTGGAACTATGCTTCCAGTCGGTAGATAGACTTCATTGTACTTCTTTTTAAACCCCTTGATTCATTGTATGTGGGATTCTTTTGTCTTGTGCCACTGTTTTCTCCAGAGTATGTCGAACCAACTTACATTAACTTTTTTTGCTAGCCATATGGCGGTGATGGATTCACTATGAACAAAACAAGCGGTGAACTTGAAGCAGGACCTGGAGAGCTGTTGACTGAAGCAGAATTGGCAGCAGCAGCAGAAGAGAAAGAAACTCACTCATTTGAGATAGACCCTGCAAAGGTAAATTTTCCCTAATGGGTCTGAAATGGCGTGTTAAAACTTATCTGTGTTAATGATTTTGGTAATGTTCTATGATCTTTACTTAACTCGCATTGTCATGTTCTTTTTGCTCTTCGTGTGTAGGTGGAGATTGTGAAGCAGCGTTGCTTGCCAAGTGATTTGAATTACCCTATGTTAGAGGAATATGACTTCAGGAACGACAATGTGAGAAAACAAAATACTACACTTTAGGCCAATTTTTGCGTACCAGATGATATGCACTTCATGTTCATGATTCTTAATAACTTGATGGTGTCTGTCAGGTTAATCCTGATCTTGACATGGAACTGAAGCCCCATGCACAACCGAGGCCATACCAGGAAAAAAGTTTGAGCAAAATGTTTGGGAACGGTATAACTACCTACTTGCACAATAGTTTCTTGGTGACTGCTAAATTGATCATAGATATTAATCTTTGCAATTTCTCATGAAACATTGTGACTGATCTAGAAGCCTGATTCTGCAGGAAGAGCAAGATCTGGGATAATAGTTTTGCCCTGTGGTGCTGGTAAATCTCTGGTTGGTGTTTCTGCAGCGGCTCGTATAAAGAAGAGTTGTCTTTGTTTGGCAACCAATGCTGTCTCAGTGGATCAATGGGCCTTCCAGTTCAAGTTGTGGTCTACTATTAGAGATGACCAAATATGCCGTTTCACTTCTGATAGTAAAGAACGATTCCGTGGCAATGCTGGTGTTGTTGTAACAACCTATAATATGGTTGCCTTTGGTGGTAAACGATCTGAGGAATCAGAGAAGATTATAGAAGAAATGAGAAACAGGGAGTGGGGGTTGCTACTCATGGACGAGGTAATTATATAGTTCTTAATGTGATGTGTGTCTTCAAATTGAAGTTAGTGTTTGCTGATAAGTTATATGTGGTTCGTTGAGAAGATGTTTCCAGTCTACAAAGAACAAAGGTCCATCCGATGCGTGACTTTTCGAGAGCTATGATTTTTTTATAGGTGCATGTGGTTCCGGCCAATATGTTTAGGAAAGTTATCAGTATCACAAAATCTCACTGCAAGCTAGGACTTACAGGTAATTAAAGGGTTCATTTGTCATCGAGCTTTTTTGTGTGTTATACTTTAAGTTTCAGAAGCTAAGTCTCTTTTTTGGTCTTTTGTTCAGCCACCCTTGTGAGAGAAGATGAAAAGATTACAGATTTGAACTTCCTCATTGGTCCAAAACTATATGAAGCCAATTGGCTAGATTTAGTTAAAGGAGGCTTTATCGCAAATGTTCAGTGTGCGGAAGTATGGTGTCCTATGACCAAAGAGTTTTTCGCAGAATATCTGAAGAAAGAGAACTCCAAGAAAAAACAGGTTCATGAGTATAAGCTTTTCCTCATTGTTCTCCGTTTTCCTCAGCAATTTTCTGAATACAAAAAACTGAGATTTGATCTTTATGATTGATTGATCTGATGCACTAGAGTCGTGTGAAACATAACAGGCTCTTGTAGGCAAATGATCTTATAGAATCACACGGAAACTTCGTCTTGGTCTGACATTTACATGTATCTCGTCTTGTGGTATATGCAGGCACTTTATGTCATGAACCCTAACAAGTTCAGAGCCTGTGAGTTTCTTATACGTTTCCACGAAGAACAACGTGGGGATAAAATCATTGTCTTTGCAGACAATCTTTTTGCACTTACAGAGTATGCAATGAAACTCCGGAAACCGATGATTTATGGTGCAACCAGGTTCGTCAAAGAACTTGTATTGAAAACACACTACTAATCTGCGTTTTCACTCATTTTGCAATATCTGATAATCCTCATTTTTTGTTCCCATTTGCAAGCCATATCGAACGAACTAAAATTCTTGAGGCGTTTAAGACCAGTAAAGACTTGAACACTGTCTTCTTGTCAAAGGTATTATTAGCATTTCCCTTGAGTTTGGAACTATAGAAAATTTGGTTGATTCCATGTTCACTAAGTATTTTTTTGGCTACAGGTTGGTGATAACTCCATAGATATTCCCGAAGCTAATGTGATAATCCAGATATCGTCACATGCTGGTTCTAGACGTCAAGAGGCACAACGTTTGGGTCGTATTCTTAGGGCCAAGGTTTGAAATTTTCGAACTTCATTACTCTTTTGTCACGTTGATACCAAAAATAAGTTTCAATAAATCTCCATGATGGATAAAAAAAAAACAGGGTAAGCTCGAAGATAGAATGGCTGGTGGAAAAGAAGAGTACAACGCATTCTTCTACTCGCTTGTGTCTACAGATACACAGGAAATGTATTATTCAACGAAAAGACAGCAGTTTCTGATCGACCAAGGTTATAGCTTCAAGGTCATAACAAGTCTCCCACCTCCTGATGCTGGTTCAAGCTTAAGCTACAGCACTCAACAAGAACAGTTGTCACTTCTCGCAAAGGTTGAGAGACAGACATTTTAGTAGCTGTGATTGGCTTTCCTTTTGGTTTTTGATATGAAAGTTTTTTAACAAATTGTGAATGATAGATATATAAATAATGGAAGAACAGGTGTTGAATGCTGGAGACGACATGGTTGGTTTGGAGCAGCTTGAAGAAGACACAGACGGTATGGCATTACAAAAGGAGAGAAGAAACAGATCGATGAGTGAAATGTCGGGAGGTAAAGGAATGGTGTACATGGAATACAACTCTGGTCGTCACAAGTCTTCTTCTCAACAATTCAAGAAACCTAAAGACCCTACTAAGCGTCACAATCTCTTTAGAAAACGTTTCGTGTAACAACAACACACATGGACTTGTTAAAGGGTTTTAAAAAGAGAATATTATCATAACACTTTGGAAAACACCCATGGTTTTGTTGCAGACTTATAACGTATTTTGCATTTTTGGAATATTTGCGAGTCTATGTTATAATAAGGCTCAAATTCTAACAGTAGTTACAATATTGGTAATACGTTCGAA